GAGTATTGTATTTGATTTTGAGAAATGAAGAAGAAGATTTGTAGCTCAGGTGGATGAAACTAGTGTAGTTGTGTCCTCTGAATTGCACGATTTAATTACGTAGCTTCAGCTTTGTATAAGAATGATACCCAGTAAGCCAAAGATTGTAGTCTGCTCATACAGAAGTTCGAATGAAAATATCACCTCGTCGAGCAACTGGAAGAGATGGGAAGCTTGTGTTTAGGCTAGCTACCCTACCACATAAAATCAGTTAGGTTGCCACAGAAACCTCAAAAAACAAAATAAGGATATACTCTTGACTAAAATCTTCACCCCCCTTTTGCTTCGATAAACTACTCTTTCATTCTCAACATGACTAGACCTAGATCTAGTGGGAGAAGAGTGATATCGTCTACAGGAAAGTGAATAGAGAAATGGACAAGTCCAAACGAATGCAGGAAACGACATCGAAATTCCAATAGGTGATATGAATGCAAGTCAAATTGGGAGCAGACAACACTGGGTGAAAAATCAGCTGATAGTGTGTTGATCGACAGCCACCCAGTGAAAAGAATGGGAGATACAAGATAGAGCAGACGAGCAGATGTAAGTTCACATGGCTGTCTAATTCATCAATTGAACCTGAAAGTCAAGTTAGCAGCCTGCTGCAGATAAACCGAATTTTAAATGTACTCCTTCGTATAGAGCTAATATTATTGCTATTATTATTGGATTGAAGTGAGGAATGTAAGGTACGAATCTTCTGACGACGCATCCCCGGTAGCCATTAGCAAATGGCCAGATGAATTAACCAGTATCACCGAACATTGGAGTAGAACAAAATCTCTCTGAAAACAACTTGCAAAGAAACGTGAATAGACATTTAGACAAGATTAATAGAAGGAGAAGAAGAAGCAAGAGGATCAGGAGGAGATAAGACAAGAAATGCCTCCCTATGAACACGTGAAAAGTGATCGCGGTGTGTCACCTAGAGGACTTCAGATTGAGTATATAATGAAAGCCAATCTAAAGCTGAAACAATGTTTCATCCAACGGGTAGACGTTTTCCTGTTTATACCACTAGTTCTTCTTTGAACAGGCACTCATTAGAAGCTACTTCTAACTTTGTGTACACATCCACAGGCACACTAGTGCAAATTCATTGAAAGAAAGCAAGATGGAAAGACAAATATCCACTAAACACCCTGAACATATTCTAAAAATCCTGAGAACCATCCCGCGTAATTTCGTTCACCTTTTTCAATAAGCAGAGAAATCCAACTTCACTTCTACTCGCTTCTGCGTCTTTACGTACATAATCTTCGTCTCCTACGTGTCTGGTTGAGAAGTCGTCTTCTGTTATTGTCAAGCCAATAACAGACACCGGTAGAATCTTCATATAAACTGATGATGGATATCTAGCCACTGCTGGTGTCACTCGTAGTGACTGTATCATCACATGCCACTCATTGCATCTGTCCTCAACCTACAATCATCGTGCCTAACGCCTGGTGAGTAGAATAAAATATGAATCTTCTTAGTTTATTAATACTGAGTATATTTCACGATATCTGCGGTTGAATAAGAAGGAGTCTGGCGGTAATATGTGCACATCATATAATAAAAATCTCCTAGTTCCTGCTTCGACGACAGTCACAAATTTACACGTTATGCGATGAATTTGGATCTTCGAACAAATATTAATGGCAGTGATGATTGAATGTTCACCTATATTGACCGCTAAATCCTTAGAAAAGGAGTAATTATAGATTAAAGAGAGGGATACATACTTTGATTCGACTTGTTTCCACTCTTCACAAACACCTAATTCTGAGGCAACTCAAGTGGACCCAATTAAACAATATAATATAATTTTCAAAATACCTTGCAGTGACTACCAGTGAGGTCATATACACAGGTCAAACAGGTAGATGATAATTTGTGAGTTTATCGCAGTGGGAGAATTTAGCTAAAACTAGAACGATTGATACCACAAAGATAAGTAATTTAGAAAAAAACTCAGCAATCAACACACAACCAAACAATACTATGGGACAGAATGAAAATTCTAAAAAGTAATATAGGCAGATAGAGAGCGTGGAAAATTGATTACTGAATCCCGCTTCATCGAGTCTATACCCAACACATGCAAAAGAAGTAACTCAACGCAAACACCAGATATATGGAAGATATTATTACCACCAGTCAAATCAGAGAATAATAAATAGTGTTAAAATCTATTCATTTCACATTATCACATTCTAACAAGCTTTTTTATTTTACAATGAAAACATGGACAAGCTGGACAAGCTGAAACCTGAGGATGTCATCCCTAAAATAGAAATGACACTAAGTGGGAAAGACAAAACAACAGCTGAAGAAGTACGTGCGCAATGTGCACTTACATCAAAACGACAAAAATGTGGAAAACCTAACCTGACAAAACAAGAGACAGAAGCCCTGAAACGCCTTAAGAATAACAAGGATATAGTTATCACAAAGTCAGACAAAGGAAACGCAACAGTAGTATTAGACAAATCAGACTATTTGGACAAGGTAAATACTCACATACGAACAGGACCATATGAAGAAGTTGATAAATCAATAGACACAGTTATGAATAAGGTTAAGAAATCCACAGCGGACCTTATACGCCAAATGAAGCCATTTCTAGGTGAGTCTAAGTGGTTTAATTTAATGTCCAAAACTAATAACCACAGTAGGATGTATGGTGTTGTTAAAGTTCATAAATCAGGATACCCTAATAGGCCTATAATTGATTTTAGAAATTCACCTACTTATGAATTATATAAATATTTAGCCATGGTATTAAATCGACTAAAAATCCACTCGAAATCTAGACTAACTAATTCTTATGAACTAAAAAACAGATTAGATAATTTAAAATTAGATAATGAAGAAAAAATGGTTAGTTTTGACATTGTCAGTTTATATACACGTATACCAATAAATATGGCTATAGAGGCAGTCAGAAACGAACTCATTTCCGACCAAGAACTCGAACTTAGGACAAAAGTGCCACTTGAGGACATAATACTGGGAGTGCAGCTTTGCCTGACTTCTACAGTATTTAAATTCCAGAGGAAAATATACAAACAAACTGAGGGAATTGCCATGGGATCACCAATATCCCCAGTTGTAGCAGATATATTCATGGATAGGTGGGAAAAGATAGCGATTGAAACGTTCACCCCACCCCAAAATTATGGTGGAGGTATGTAGATGACACATTCACTGTTCTTAGAACACAAGATATAGAAAGACTTTTCGAACACATCAACTCGAAGGTAGAGGCAATTCAATTCACTTATGAATTGGAAAGTCAGGAAGGGGAACTTCCAATGTTAGATTGCAAAGTAAAAAGGAAAGAAGATGGGAAGCTAAACAGTAGTGTTTACAAAAAACCCACACACTCAAACAGATATTTGGATTTCCGATCATCCCATCCTATGTCAGTAAAAATAGGATTAGTGAAATGTTTAAATAACAGATCACAAAAACTAAGTAGTACCAAGGAAAATCTAAGACAGGAAGTGATACACATAAAAAAAGCCTTGAAACTTAATAATTACCTGGATAAATTAGTCAAGAAATATGTAAGTAAATGTAAAAATGAAATAAATAATGATAATAGAGATAGTGGTAATAATAATAATGATAATAATAATAATGGTAATAATAATAGTGATAATAATAATATTAATGACGACACCAACAATAAGGAATCTTAATCATCAGTAGTAACTCCATACAAGGAAGGAACCTCGGAAGCCTTACGCAGAATTTTTAAAAAGGCAGGAATAAAAGTAGCTTTCAAACTCACAAACTCCATTAGAAACAAGCTTTGTCCGTTAAAGGATCCTGTAGAGCCTTTATTACAAAACAATTTAGTTCATCTAATACCCCGCCTGCAATGATTGTCAGGTCAAATGCATAGGTGAAACTAGTAGAACAGGGGCAGTCAGTCAGACTAGCCGAACATAAAAACCTAGTTAAATCTAGATTGGTTGACCCAAATAAGATAAGAAATCTAGAAAATAGTTCAGCTATAGCACTTACTACATGCAATTACACACAACCATACAATAGGATGGGATAGGATGACAGTTTTTAAATCTAATGTCACAGGGTATAGGGAGAGATTGATGACAGTGTAAGCTTTGTTTATCGAATCAACTGCAAATACATGCAATAGAAATGACTCATCACCTGACCCTGACATCTGGAAAATTCTACTACTATTACGACAAATAGTAGACGACAAAAAAAACTATAAAACTCAAATCTCAAAGTCGTGTGACCACTATTGATATGATTATGAACAATAAATTGTGTTCGAAACGTCATCCAGTAAATAATACTGTTTCACTGTGTGATACATCTAATAAACAAACTAATACGGAAAACATCTTATTTCTCATCTTATTGTATTTTACTGATAACACTAATATTATTTCTGGATGTATTTAATCTTATATTGATTTTATTCCAAAAACCTAATCAATTCTACTCTTGTATGTAAAAGAAGTAAGAAAATCGTGTGAGTTCATTGATATGATTATGAGCAATCATTTGTGCTCGAAACGTCATCAGTGAATATTACTACATAACAGTGTGTGATCTTATCAAAATGAAATTTATCCATGATTAAGTCTCCACAACCTGACGACGATGAGTTACTGCGCATACCTAATGTGTTCCATCTATCCACCCTTATAACTATCTACAACCTAGACGAATGACTTCTTGTCTCACGCTGTCTCCAAATTCACTATTACTTTATCTTCCTTTCAATCGGACGCAAACAATGGAACGGCGAGTTATGAAGGAACTTGAAATGTTCCATCCAGAGTCAACATACATTCATTCCTTGTTACCAGCTTGTTTTAGTCTATTTCAACACGAATCATTTAGTCAAGTAGACATCATCTCTGTAACAAAGCACACTCACATAAAACATTTTTATCCATTGTTTATTAAAGAATTCACAACTATTACTGGAGGAAATTGAAAAGGGTTCATGACAGAGAGAAAGAGTTCACAAAGGTAGGAATCATACTCATGAACAAAAGGCTACATGCGTGAAATTATTATTGTGAATATGGATAGAGTGGAGAATCAAATTATAAAGACATTGTGTTAACAGAAACACAGGGATATTTTTTTATCAGGGGAAATTAGAAGTATAATGCGTGATGATATTTACCATGTTCTTATCAAGTTACTGACTCTTCGGAAGATAATCAGGCATCAGTTCTATAAACGAGAGGATAAGTTAGAAAAGGAAAGACTTTGAAGTCCAGATACAAGAAGATTCACTTGACTGCCTCTTATCCAGTCAGGCATTGATTCGAAACATCTGCAACAAGTTAACAATTTCCTGTAAAGTTCGGTTATCACCACACATCAGATAAAAATGTGTCATTGGACGAGACAAATCAGATGGTGGTGATGAGGATGATGGTGTATCCACTTGTGATGTGCGTACAACACTCGCTGTCCTCGATCCTCTGAGTATTTCAGAGTCCCTAACTTGAGTGTTCCATGGATTTGTGGAATATTCCCTCACATTTTGCAGTGAAGTCTCCACTTGGTTGAGTTCATTGTTTGACTGCACACTGTCACTTCGATGCTGGTCACACCGTATTCCAACACCGTAGTACCCAGGATTCAAAGTCCTGTCGAATACATTCGCACGATCATTATTAGTATGAGGAGGACTTTGGTTGACTGGATACTGGCTATTCATCCCCAACATATGCTTGTATAGATCAATACTGTCAGACAAACAGAAAACAAAACAAAACGAAACACAAGGGTTTATATAACACACAGACAGATATTTAGTTGAGGGAGTGTTTCGAGTGCATGATGCTGTTTGTCAAGCATCTATTAAAATCGTGAATGTGATGGTAGATAAGACTGTGAATCACTTTGTATTTTTCTCTTGGAAAATATCTGGCCTGATTAGTGAGTCCATTTTGTTAAGGTTCTCCGACTTGATAATACTCTGTGAAGTGCGATAAACGGAATCAGTTATTCGACTCTCGATTTTTTTATCTGGGAGACATTTCTACACTATGAAGGTTTAAAACCAGTGAAATTTGACGACACTCTACGCCTTCACAGAATTCAGGTTCCTTCATGTTAGCAAGTTTCACTAGGCAATCTGGCGACTGAACAGTCAACTGGAAGTCTCGATTCTCTTACTTATTTATCGGTATTAGGAAAGCGTGGTTCACAGGAGGACAAAACTTCTTAACATGGTCACAAAAACAGTACGTGGGTAGTAGCACGTAGAGCAAAAACGAATCAGATTGAATAGAAGAAAGAAATAGTGAGAACACAAACTAGCTATTAAAACATATAGGTCACGTGAAATCCCCAACAACACCATGAATAAAGAACAATAAATGATGACCCGATCCACGCAGACTAACATTTTTGAAATCGCCGAAAGGAAAATGCAACGAGTGTCAAAATATCCAACAGCAAACAGAAGAGTGACAGTCCTTTGAACATTATTGTGTCAACAAATAATAGGAATTAGAGCTTACTAAATAACTGTAAACAAATAATTGATGGAAATCCATTCACAAGCAGAAGTCGACTAGATGAAATTTAGGTTCTGAGTATTGGGAAGTGATACAAGAAAATGTTATTCCTTAAACAATAATAGTAAATAGGTGTTCCTCAAGGTGGGATGGACTCATGTGAGCACTGAATCGGAAACTAGCAACTTTCATCAGATTTCACACAACGAAGAAAACGATCAATCAGATGACATTGACAACTCTACTTACAGAACATTAAGCATTTAGAACAGTGAAATATGATAGCTGACATCATCTATCGAACTAGAAATATACTCTTCAATTTACTATACTAACTCTTCACTTACTCAAAAGTACTCAGCAGCATTCTTTAACACTATAAATAAATTCTATTGAAATCAACACTTTAATGATAATCGACAGTGTTGGTACTTCAAATGCGACATAATTTAATTCTACTGGGTTCAAGTAACATTATATATGCTACATAACAGAATAAACAATATAACTGATGTAAGTCAATTATTATCCAAACAAAACTGCAACAATACTAACACACAGTGATCATGAGATTTATGGATGAAAATAATATATATTCAATGACTAAAAAGATCACAAATTTCTCACCTTTCCCTGATCAGAACTACTGCTCTCTCCACAGACGTCTGCTCGCCAACAATAACAATTCGTCTGATTATCCGATTCTCATCGTGACGCGAAATAGTAATTGTCGCCTGTGACATCTTAAAAAGGAAAGCAGTAAGAAATATTGAGATGGTGGTGGTGTTTGTGTTGGTGGTACTGGTAAACTTTATGCGTAAGGTTATCATGAAGTTGTTATTTTATTTCCAGTCTGAATTCCACGGTGAATAATTGGCATTTAAAACAAGTACTAGATTAGCAGTATTGAAACTGGGTAGATTGCACTGAACATTGTCGACGAATTGTATCGTATTGCATCCAATCAACTACATTCTATGAAATAACCATACGACACTATACATAAATAAGACATGAACTACATTTCTAAGACATCTATCTTATAAGAAGCAGGAGAAGCAAGGGGATGCAAGAAAAGCTAAATTCAGGAAACTACATCATTTTTAAGTACTTCCTTCTCTCTTGAATATACACGCACACACACATACACTTGAGAAGAAGACAACTCAGTGAGTGAGAACATACTGAAATTATCAATCCCATATATATCACTTCAGCATCAGTATCTATCAAGCTACGTAGGATATTGAAGCTTCACTGAGAAGAGGTGAGATGAGAAGAGAAAGGATAATGTAAAGATTTGTTTGTCACGCACAATGGTCAACTGCTAGCTATGTGAAATACAACATGAGAGTGTGTCCCGATGGTGACACAGAATCAGTCATGCCATCCAGTCACCAAATCACAATTGTTAACAATATGTTCAGTCAGCATTGTCTTCATCAGTTTAGAGACACAACTAAAATACTCCTGGTGTACATTGGTATTACTGCAGTCTACCATTTGGTAAAATTTCTTTGATAATTAAAGTAGTTGCAGAAACCACCAAAACTAGTATACAACAAAGAAACAAACAAACACGGTTAGACACACACACACAAACGGACACACTTTCACCATAATGGAAGACATCGTGAATCAACTATTCCAACCGGTTATTTATTCAACGAATAAATTGTACTACTTAGTAGCTAGTGTCCACTGAACCACAATGCAAAGCATATATAATTACAAGAATACAACACCAATTACCTCACGAATTTCATTGATCCTACTGCCTCCCTTCCCGATCACACAGCCAATAAGGCTATTCGAAAGGAAAATCTCATGACGACAGAAAATGAAATGATTTGCAGTGGAAATTGGTGGTGACAAGACTGCTGGATTTCGTGATGGCTGCTGGCTTGAATTCAATATTGGAGGAGTTTGTCGGTGACTGATAAATCCATGTTGATGAGATTCAGATTTGCTTGGTAGGTGACCAGGATACATGATTATTTCTTGTCCTATCAATCATAACAGCATGAATACAACAAAAAAGTTATAAGTGAATAAGATTAAAGTGTACAACAAGTCAAGTTTACAAATGATCATGACTCTTCGCCAATAACTATGACTATGCAGACAGTGAAGAGAAATAATTGTAGACGTCGGTTACACTGTCGTCAAGTGTAATCTATGCAGTTCTCGCTGAGAATAGAATACATCAAGAGAAAGAAGGTGAAAAACAAACTCCGAGAATAATATATTATACAAAGGCTAAGACTGGTAATCAAGTGTGTATATATTATATGACATCATAATTTACGACTAACATATTTCTTGTTACACAAAGCTACACAATGCCTACCTACTAGATACCAACAATCACAACACCTCTACTTCTACTTCAACGCCACCTGTTTCATTTCACGCCCACCTAATACACTAGACAGCATGGAAATCAAAATAAGCGAATTCAGCCAAAACAACTGAAGTGATCAGTCGCAGAGAGGATGGACAGCTAACTTTTAGTATGTGTGGGTAGCAGACATTGCATTACACTCGTTTTATATAGCAGTGTAGATTCGCCCTTCTGGCGACTACTTGATTCTTCGGTATTGAGCAGCATGGCCATATGACAATGTCACATGTCAATTGATCCACAGTGGAAAACTCAGCGAAGTCTTTGAACTGAAGACAGGCGTAGGATAATGCTGCCTACTGTCACTGATGACATTCGTAATTGTGGTGAACTAAATTATGCTGGAACCTCGCCTAGATTACTACCTCTGTAGTTTTCTACCCGTCTCGAGCCCGGATAAAGAAGGCGGATTTTACATAGTCTGAAGAGGTTGTTGAGTGGTACTGCGAGTTAGGACCTAGAGTGAGACGCTATTGGAAAACAGTGAATTGCGAGTCCAAGGGTGGAATGAATGAGATCACGTTTAGACAAAGTGATTGCTTATGGGCAGTCATACAGCCAGCTAAGGGGAAGTGTGGAGACATCAGCCACTGTAGCCTGATATCATACTCGGAATCCTACGGAATAACAATAAAACAAAAATGAATAGTTGGTTACAGGATTTCATCATCAGCTAGCATTAGTTAGAGAACCATTGGAAGACCTGGGAGTACTGCAGTTCCAGTGGGAAGTCATGACCAGTAGGGTGCACCAGGTCGGGTGTGAGGACAAATACTCAAAGAAGAAATTGGCCTGCGATTGCGCTATATCATGAATTGGCAGAGGTTAGAATTCATGGTCCATTGGATCGGGTCCCAGTGGCTAAATGGTCTACGAGCTCGCCTTGTAACCTGAAGATCCTGGGTTCGAACCCTCGTGGGTGCGTACTGCTGAAGAGTCCCAAACTAGGATGAAACAGCTATCCAGTACTCCTTGGTAGGTTTTCTAATGTATCTCTAACCAATGTCAGGTCATGATGAAATCCTGTAGCCAATCAACCAAATCCCTACAAACCAATACTTGAATAGAAATGAATAGCCTGGGTAATTCTTTTGGTTTTGGATGGGGAAATAAGAGTCGTTATCAAAACTAATTAGGACTGAAAACATATCTGTTCATTTAACTGCTAAAGTGAGTTCCTACAAGCGATATTTAGATGAAATTATTTTTATATGTGATGATCAGGGAGATGCGAGTCGTCCGCTGCAAAGTCTCAACCATTTACAAAGTCATATAAGTCTTGCATCAGAGGAGGAGACTGGCAACCAACTTGCGGTCTTAAAAATACTTCTGAGTAGGGGGTAAGATGGTTCAATAAAGCCTACTTGGAAAGAGCAATATTTTAATTTTCACAGCTTCTGCCCACTGCAGTATAAGAGAGGTTTGGTTGAGTGCTTGCGCTTCAGGGTTCAGAGCACTTGCACTGCTGATATTATAGAGGATGAAACTGAAATACTGTTGGATACTCTTGATATTCTATTTCCATGTACAGATGTACCCACTGATAGAAAAACCAATTGTACATGTAAAGACGGGCGAAATTCCGGTTTGAGTAAAAGATACAGATTGGTCTGACGAAATGATGCTGTTGCAGTGTTCAGCGCCTCTCTTGCTACTTCAGACTAAATATATCCGGGAGCATTATAAGAAGCATGTTTTGAATAGTCACGTACGGATAAGACTATTATAGTCCGTAAATCCAAAGTGGAAGCAGAAACACTGAAAAGGTTCAAATCGGATTGAGTGAATATAAGGCTGGCACAATCAGTACATACGTTTTTTCTTAGTAGAAGATTCATTGGGTCTCTCCGAAGCGTTTATGCATGGGATAATGTCTATGATTCAACAGAAATGAAATTAAATGCTTTCTGACAAAATAAAGGTGTGTTTGCGTAACCAAAACCATCAGTTGGACGGAGAGCCATTTATCTAACCAAGTGGTTGGGAATTCACCTGGATGTCTACGAAATGCAGAGAAAAGATACCTGCAAGTTTATCAATGAAGGATTCTCTGCATTTCGGATAGTAGTCACACAGTGATAAGTGAGATAACCGTTAATGCATTTGGTAGTTGCGCTAACAAATTTCCTGCCTAGTCGGTTTTCGAGCCTATTATTCTAACCAATACTGACAACGACACGTCACGATAGCACCTAAAACCTGACACAAGGAGACGAAAAGGGAAGACTGACTGTTGACTTGGAGAGCATTTACGTCTCGTAACAACAGCGAAAATTTTTGACAGCCTATATATGTATGCTTTAACCTCGCCTAGAGTACTAGCTCGGCAGTTTTCTAGCTGGTCCCAAGCCCGGATAAGAGGGAGGGTTAGGGCATCGTGCTAGCAACTCCACCGCCAAAACTTAACCAAATCGCTACAGAAACCTCAACGCATAAATGTATTAAAAATTCTAAATATTTGAACAAAAACCTTATTTTTCGCTGGAATCGGGGAAGTGAAATGACGCAGGCTGGTGAAAGCCTTCAGGAAGCCAGTCAGCCGATGTGCCTTCTTTCAATGAAAGCAAAAATAAGGATGGGTACCTGAAATGTTCGTTCAATGTACGAAGCTGGAAAGGCTGCCCACATAGCCGCTGAAATGAGGAGGTACAGAATAGAAGTGTTGGGAATCTGCGAAAGCAGATGGAACAGAACTGGAAGGTGCCAACTACCAACTGGGGAGACAATAATCTATTCCGGCCACCCAGAGGACAACCACGAGCACACCGAGGGAGTGGCCACCATGATGTCACCAACAGCAAGCAACCAAAGCTCTCATGCAGTGGGAACCAATCTCCTCCAGGATAATGACAGCCAGGTTCAACTCAAAAGGAAGGAAATTTACAATCATTCAATGTTATGCGCCTACAAACATCTCAGAACAAGAGAAGAAGGAGGCGTTCTACAGACAACTACAAGCAATAATGGACAACGTCCCAAATGGCGATATCAAAATCCTGATGGGTGATATGAATGCGAAGCTGGAAGGAGACAATACAAGAAGAGAATTGACCATGGGTCGTGAGGCCCTTGGTGAAATGATCGACAATGGTGAACTCTTCTCAGACGTCTGCGCCTTCAATGATTTGGTGATTGGTGGAAGTGTGTTCAAACACAAGAATACACCCAAGGCGACATGGATTTCACCAGATGGATACACCAAAAACCAGACAGACTTCATTTCAATCTCAAGAAAGTGGAGACGGAGCCTACTGGACACAAGGTCGAGGAGAGGAGCAGATGTGGGTTCAGATCACTATCTAGTACAATGGACTTTCAAGGTGAAGCTGAAAGCCTCGAAGATAGCTGGGGATAGGCCACAATGCAAGTTCTACACTCAAAAACTGAAGCCCACAACCACAAAGGACACTTTCACTGCAACTGTCAGAGAAAAGCACGAAACACTACGTGACATCACTGAACAATCATGCGTAGAAGAAAATTCGAAGTCTCTGAAGGCGGTTCTCAACGAAACGTGTTCAACGGTTCTAGAAAGAAAGAAGAGACAAGACAAGGAATGGCTCGCAACGGACACTTGGAAGCTAATAGAAGAGAGGAGAATGGTGAAAGAGAAAATGATTCAATGGGAGGACGGACAGGAGAAGGAGACGCTGAGCTCAACTTACAAAGCACTGGACAAAGAAGTGAAGAAGTGTGCTAGGAAGGACAAAAGAAGAAACATTCTACGACAATCTGGCCACTGAAGCTGAGAAGGTAGCAGGCAAAAGGGACCTGAGGACATCATATCAGATAACCAAGTCTCTATCCGGGAAGAGATCAACACAAGCGAAACTTATAAAAGACAGCCAAGGGAACCTAATTACCAAGGAAGAAAGAAAGATTAAACAATGGGCGGATCACTTCAAAAGACTATAGAACCGACCACCACCTTCAACCTGTCCAAAATACCAACAACAGCACGTACACAACTGCAAGTTGAAATATATACTCCCACGAAAGCTGTGCGTCGGTGGCACAGTGGTTAGGACTCTCGCCGACCATGCACATGGTCCGGGGTTCGAGCCCACGCCGGCGCACATCTGATATCTATGGTCGGCCTGCAAAATTCGGGCTGCCGATATCCATGCTGAAAATTCCATACTTGTACCGAAAATACAATGTGGAATCAAGCAGTAAATCAAAAAAAAGTCTTGAATGCAATCAAGCTTCTGAAAGCTGGAAAAGAGGCTGGACCAGATGGAATACCCCCTAAATCACTGAAAGTGGACCCAGAAACAACAGCGAATATACCGACTCCATTATTGCAAAAGGTCTGCATGCAGGGAGAAGATGCCTACTGACTGGAGGAAAGGTTACCTCATGAAACTACCAAAGAAAGGGAGACTTAGGACTCTGTTTCTGTCGACGCCAAGTAAAATCCTGAGTCGCATCATCCTGGAGAGAATAAAGGACGGACTAGATACAGAACTCCGACCAGAACAAGCTGGATTCAGAAAAGGCAAATCATGTTCTGACCAAATTGCAACTCCACGCATCATCATCACAGAACGAAGCATGGAACGGTGATCAAAGCTCTACCTCAACTTTATAGACTTCGAGAAC